CCTGCTCTCCCTGTTACCCAGTGTGCTTGCATGTGGGGCACACAGCTTTCTGCTCTCATCTGGGATTTGTTGAATTTCTGGTGTGGGTGTTGGAAATTGTGCCACTTCATCCAGATGTAATATTCTGCTCGCAGTTTCAGTTCCAATATTGCTGCTTTGAAATCCAGGGAAAAAAAGCTTTAAATGGACTATAGGTTTCTGGGACCATCTTTGATAGGGACTTTGATTCACATTTTAAATCTATTGACCTAAGAATTTGACGATAGTCAGAAGTTGTGATTTCTGCCTTGTGGGCAGTGACTGCCTGAGCTCCTTGCATCTTTTTCTTCCACATCTGGAAATTTGGAATCATTTTACAGCCCATGGCTATTAAGAGTTACTGGGATATAGGTAATGTTTGCACAGTGCTATATAAACACCAAGGATTATTTTCCCTCTGCTTAGAAGAGAAGCTTCTCTCTCAACCTGAGCTTATTGCAAAAGATCCAGGTACTTTTTTGCCCTTATCTAGTCATTGTTTCCTAGATTATTTCAGTATTATCCTGAAGCAGGCTTGAAGCTGTCCAGTACTGCATAGCAGTGGTCTGTCTCCTATGCTTACGTCTTGGAAAGACATAATTTTACTTGAAGACTGCCTTTTCTCAGCGGGATGGACGTTACTGGAAGAATGGGATTCACCTCTGCCCAAACCTCTTCACAGTTGCAGCGACTTAATTTAAGTCACTTTGTGGTCTGCTCTTCAAAGAGTACAAGCGCTGCTTTTTTGCCAGCTCTCTTGGAAAATGTGGCTTTTAAACTCTGTGGGAAGATCTGTTATTTCTTCTCTAAGGTCATTCATACTTGGTTACCTTGAAAAACTCAACTTTGTTTACTTTATGGCTTCAAAAAGCCCATTTCTAGCATGCGAATTATGTTGGATACAGAGCATCTTCACTCCTGGAAACAGACAGCCTGCATTAGTGGAAGCACAGTGTCTTTAAATGATGTGCTCTCTGCCTCTCTTCCTTTTTCCACAACTTTAGAGTGAGAAGAGAACTCAAAAAGATCTTTTTTTATCTCCTGTGATTATAAAGCTTTGTGATTTAATTTTTACCTGGTGATTTAATTTCTACACCACAGGAATAAAACTTTACTAAAAATAGCTCCTAACACTGGGTTCTACTCTGATGCTTTCTTCACCAACTGCGGAAAGTTCCAGCTGCAACGGAAAAGCCTTACAGGTTCATCTCCTCCTCCCACCTTGCTTTTCCCCCATGGAGAAGGTGGTGTGTACCTAGAATTTGGGTGAAGAGAAAAATTGATCCTTCTGGGCTCAGCTGTGTGTTCCTGCTAATGAATGTCTTGCAGGTGCAAAGTTAACATCTATACTTGGAGGGATACCATATGGTTCGAGTCTAGCAATTAGAAATTACTGTGCATATGGATCACCCTGTTTTTCCCCTTTCTTCTTTGTTGGTCACCTGATGAAAGGATCTCAACTCCATTGTACTCCAGGTCTAATTAGCAGCTGAATTTCTGGGCTCTGAGGTTGGGAAGCTGAATTTCAGCGTTTCTCGAGTTTTGGGCTGATGGATGCAGCGTGATTGTGTTTTATGGGTTGATACAGAATGGTGGATGCAAAGGCCTGGAGCAGGGAGGCCGTGTGGAAGACACTGCTTTAAAAAAAATCTCTACGTGTTAAAAATGGTGTAAAAATTGTAGGTCTCTGAATCGGTTTCTTCTGAGAGTTTGTTAGAATTAAACCCAACATTTTTGATAGAGCCTGTAAAAATTTGTCCTGGGTCTGGCTGGGATGGAATTAAGTTTCTTCATAGCAGCCCCTGGGGCTGTGTTTGGGATTTGTGGCTACAACAGCACTGATGTTTTGGCTGTTTCTGAAGGGTGCTTGCATAGTGTCAAGGCTTCATCTTTTCCCCACTCTGCCCAGTGACCAGACTGGGGGTGGGTGGGAGATGGGAGGGGACACAGCAGGGACGGCTGACCCGGAGTGGCCAGAGGGATATTCTGTACCATGAACCCTTGTGCTGAGCAATAAAACTGGGGCAGAGGAAGAAGGGGGAGTTGGCTTCCAAGGTGGCCGTTGTTTGGAGTCTGCCTGGGGGAGATAGTGAGTGGATTTCCTTTGCTTATTTCTTTTTCATTCTTTCTTTCACCTGTTAAACCATCTTTGTCTCAACCCACAAGTTGTCTGGCTCTTGTTTTCCCTCTTTTCCCTCTCTGTCTCAAGCGATGGGGAGTGATTGAGTGGCTGTGTGGGTGCATGGTTCCTAACCAAAAGGCATTATCCTGACTTCTGAATTCTTATTTATCTTTGCATGGTGGCTACTGTAATCTCTTTGTCTTAGTGTCATTGATTGTAGGAAGAACAGCATTGCTATTGGACTGTTAGTATTAGTCTGATTGTATTAATATGCGCTTTTTAAAGTTAAACTTCATCATAGGCCTTGGACCCTGTGAATTATACTACTGAAAAATCATAGCCTGCCTATTGATTATCCTATATGCATTCATTATACTGAATATTATATAAATATATAGATATGCAGTGCTGGGTAATATTTCAGAGCTGGAAGATGATGCTCTGCAGACTCCCAGCACATACAGAATGGAAATAAATGATGGAATGGAGGCAGAGGATGACAGGAAGATTTATAACAAGTTTTCATCTATATTTTGAAATACAAGCAAAATAATAGATTTAAAATACAATTGAAATAATTTTAACTGCCGCTTGAGCTTACATTAGCAATGGTGGGAAAAAGCTCTTCAAGAAACCCAGACAATTAATGACTGCTGTGAATGGATCTGAAATGTTGCGTTATTCAAGGTTCATCTGTTTCCTTTCAGATATCTGTTTTGCCCTGTAGCTATTGTAAGTTACCTGGTGTTTTCTCTCCAAAGAAGATCCTTTTGTTTTCTATTCAGCTTTTTAAGTCCGCGATCGTTTTCTACAATTGAAGGCTGCTCTTTTTATGTCAAACCACACTTCTGTACTTCTAGGTCTCACCGTAAAAGGAGTCAACCCAGAAGACATAAAACAGAGGATCAGAAGTCTCTCGGGGATGTCATGGCTATTGAAACTGCCTTGGAAGATGTGAAAGTAAAAGAGGAGCTGAAGAGGGGGCCAGATCTGGAGGAAGAGGAGAGAAGCAAAGCGATGGAGGGAGAAGGTAAGGGCCCAGCTCACCGATGGCCGATCCCTTCAGTGCAAGCTCTCTCTTTGAAACACATTTGTAAATAACTTGTCTGCTGTTGTTTATTTCTGTTGAAATATCAGCGGAGCCATTCCCAATATTAAATCTGTGCTCACTGAAATATACCATCATTTACAGCAGCAATTGATTTTTCCCTCTCTTTAAGGATTCAGTCCAAATAGCTTTCTTGGCAGGGCTTGAAATTTCTGCCAAAACTATTACAGGTTTGTAAAAATATATATTATGGGAGGAATATTTTTAAATATTTCATAGAGAAACAAATAAATATATTTTGTGTACTGCTCTGGAAAGGGATGATTTGTGCACTCCCTTGTGCAATTAATCTCTTCCCCGTTCCCTCCCTTCCTCCCAGTTTCTTACAGCGACTGTGAATAAAATCAGCCGTAGGTTGTGTGGGATCCACAGCTGCTGCATGAGTGCAAGTTGCAGGTTTGGTTTTCTTCACCTCCAGCTGTGGGAAGGAAGCTTTTACAGCTTGCTTTGTGTGGCTGAAGTTAACACCAGGCCATGACAACTCCCAGTCCTTTATGGTTTCTTCTGCTTAAAAGCACAAGTTCCAGAGAGTTCAGGGGAAGGCAGAGAGGAACAGGAGCTGGCAAAACAACAGAGCTGCTTTCCACAGAGTTGTGCCTGAATTTCTGTGCAACCTTTGATAAGTCACTTAACCTTTCTCTGCTCGTCAGCACATCTGTACAGTGGACATCATATTTTTTAGTGCTGTGGTCCTCCCGTGAGAAACGGTGTCTGCAAAACTCTTTGGAGCTGTTTGTTGCAGTACACCATGACTTAAGGCAAAATATAACTGAAGGCCCGTTGCAAAACCAGAGAACATCTTGGTTTGTGTATTTGTGTGACATGTTCCTAGTACGTATGGGTAGACCAAAGGCCTGACCTCAGTCTTCTTGCTGGAGGCTTTTTTGTGATATTTTTTCTTATTTCTTGGCTTTGTATCAAAGGTTGCAGTTCTTGCTGGGAGTAAATGCCTCTTGTTTTGTTTGTTTTCCCTAATTTGTGTGGTTAAGTAGCTGATGCGCCTGTGACGCACTCTCTCTTTGAGGCGCACTCAAGCATTTCATAAACACCAGTGAATTCTTTTTCATATGGTGTATATATCCATTATTTGTTTAGCGTTTGGAGAAAACCGATACTGCAGACTGTTTAGAGAGCCCTGATAACGATCTTAAATGAAATCTGCGGGAAAGAATTGAGGTCTTTGTTCAGTTCCTGAGTCTCTTAGCTAGACGGTGTGTTTTCTCTTTTCATGGGAAATAAGGAGTTTGAAAATCATCGTTGTACAGAGCACAAGTAGCACAGTGCAGACAGTTAATTCCTATTGCCCTGAGCTTGAAAGTGTCAGCAGTGTGTTAAATTGTGTGCTCTGAGCTCTTGTGCAAGTTTAACAGTTGATGCTTGTAATAAATGGCCCGAAAATGCTGATATCCCTTCAGAGACAAGAGATAAGTGACAGAGACAGATCCGAGCTCCTTGGGATGGCAGAGGGACAATAAAGGCTCTGTTCTAGCCCAGTAGGTTCCAAATCAGACAGAGCTCTTTAACTGTAAGCACAGGAGGCAAAAACTTATTTTCAGCACCACTGCAGACAGCGTCACTAGAACCAGGCTGTCTGCTTTGCAGTGTCTGAGGGGTCTGGTGCTCAGTGCTGCTGTTAGCGAATATCCATGTTTCTTAATGCAATACAGCAATTAAATACCACTGAATTCTCTAGTTTTCTACATCCTACTGCTTTACCTCTCACAAGTGTCCTACAGTTTCATCTTGAAAAAGAAAATAGCATCTGTTCGGATGGCCCTGCTTGTGGCAATTTAGCTTTCCCCCCACCTTCGCTTACTTTTTCTTTTGCTGTGGCTTTAATTTGGCTTGATTTCCTACTTAACCAGAAAAGACGACTTTGAGAAGGAGGAAGAATGAGATTTCAAAGTAAACATTGGTAGTTTCAAAGTAGGTCTTATGCTTCACATTGGTTATTTTACTAGCCGAGTATTAATAACTTGAGGTTTTCAGGATTTCTGACCCAGATATCTTAAGGAGTTTTGGTTTTTATGACTCAGCTTTATGTTAATAATTTATTATGTTGCTGTTAATGAACTTAGAATTCTTCACAGGTTGTCTTGGGACTTGGAATGGAAAAGGAGAGTGTTTAAGGACTGCTCTCCTCCGGGTGTGGTAAGCAGTAGAAATAGGTCCTGTGAGTCAGCAGGTGCTATCAGTGATGCTGTGCCTGCAGACTTGGGCTATAAACCATAAATCTTACAGGATTCTTTTTGAAATAATGTGAGAAAAAGCAATGAGATACCTAACTGCAAAATAGTTGTGTTATTTTCCACCACATCTCATTTAATGGCGTTGCCACGTATCCTCTTGAGTGCTGCAGCTCTTAACTAAATACATAATTACATGAAATAATGCTGTGATCCAGGTGCCAGTAAACCAGAACTGAAAACTTTTCTGCTGTTTTCTGCAGCAGATCGATGCATAACTGATTTTTAGGTGACCGTTTGCCATGTGAGGGTTTTAGATCTCAAGCATTGACCATTGGCCAAGTGCTCGTCTGTGGCTGATTTTTACTCCAGCAGTGCTTAAGCTGGCAATGTAAAGTCATTAAGAGATGAGAATGTTTAAATTATCATGAAACAATGTCACAGCACAGGAATGTGTCCTGGAGACTTTCTGGACTCCTCTAGCATCACGTAGAGAAAACAGAGCCTTTTCAGAACATTGCTAGCAGTCGCTGTGGCCATTGCGTATTTGTATTAGGTGCCATACGAAGGTCTGATAACAGCCAAGCAGACACAACCCCTAGAAGGTGTTTTCCTACCATTTTTGCTTTCTCCTCCCATATCATTTGTGTTTGCATATTCTGTTAGCACAGGTGATGTACAGGATGTAAACACTGGGCATGTAGGGATTGCTTTAGGGTAATATTCTCTTCCTAGAAGTAAGAAATGCTATTTAAAGTGAAGCTGTGAGTTCATTGTTCAGGAGCAACTTTCGGATGGTGGAATAGTCTTGGTGATTACTTCATCTGCCGCACAGGCTCCCTCTGGATTGAAGAAAACCCTGGAGTGCGACTGATACACAAACACAAACATCTTGAGGGATGCAGTGCTGCGTTAGGCTGCTTTCTTCCATGCCTGGTTTCATCTTATCTCTGTGCTTGTGCTTCTGCTAGATTAATAAGTCTAATTTACAGTTGCTTGGGTGGGGGAGTGGCTGTTGACAGTACAAATTATTTAACTAAAATAGTGGCTAAATTACTGATGCTGAAGTCCATTGCTAATTTTCTTTGCCCAATACCAGGAGATGTTGCTCTAGCAGATGAAGTCCATGCTCTTGTAACAGCTCTTTAGAATCTCATGGCCTAAAGCTACAGTGTACGCTCCTATGTAAGGTTTGATATCCCCACCAACACCTCTTCCCTTCAAAGGTACTATACACCTGCAGCTTCCGTGAACTCCAATTAGTGTTTCACATTATCTCTAGACAAGTTTAACCTATCTCTGTTAACCTACCATACCAATTTGTGCATAAAAATCCTTTTCCTTTCCAAAAGTATTCACAGCAGCCAGATAAGGACTTTGAATTTTATCTCATTTTCCCCTAGCTTCTGATTCTATAGATTGACTTGGAAGCGAGTTTGTTCATCTTAATGCAGAAACTTTTAAACAAAGTTCTACATGCCAGCTGCTGTCAAATTACCCATTTAGAAGTCAATAAAGCTGGTGAATGGCATTTGTTTTGTTGTTGGGTAGAGAATTCTCCAAGTGTATAGAGAGTAAATGTGATCTGGTTTTGTGCAACTGGGGAAAAATCCAATTTTCCTTTCATTCAATATGTTTGTTTCTTTAAGGAAATTCAATATTCTTTTCTCTGTGATGGAACAAACTAGTTTATCTGAGGGGCTGCCCACGCGAGTACAACAGTAACTGTTTGGGCTGGACTTGTTCCCATTTTTATAAGTTAGTGTAAATAAAGTCATCAGACCAGGGTTCTGGGAGATGGGGAGGTTGAGGTATCCCGTAGATGATTGTGGAGGGGGATTTTAGCATTTTATCCTATTGTGGATATTGTGTACAACTTCTTTTTTCAAAGCCTTCCTCCTGCAGATGCCTGGCTATTGTGTCATGGTTTATCTGATTTTTTTGAGTGGTCAGCTTCGGTTTAGTCCTTATTGGAGCAGTCAGAGTAGGTTGGGATTGGTGAAGCATCATTATTAAGGTGAACAGTCTTTCTCCATCTTTCGCTGTCACCATTTCTCCTCCCCATCCTATTAGTGGGAAGATGACCTTTTGCAGTCTCCTAGTCATAGCATCTGCAGGTGAAAAACAATCTTGTATGAAATAAATTGAGCACTGACATCTGTCCGTGGAGCATCTATTATTTACTTTCCTTTGAGTGAGCTGATAACTTCATTCATGGAGTGGGGGAAGAGTTGGGCAAAGGGACATAAATCATCATTGATGGAATAAGGCAAGATGTGAAGGGATCTCCTGTCCTGGCCCAGAGACTCAATGGCGAGCAGGAATTTTAATTACAGCTGTAAAGTCGGACTGTGGGGATCCTTTAATGGGAAGATAGGTGGGGAAGGCTTTTATGGGTCGTTACTGCTGCTGGTTAAAATACTGGCGTGTCTGTCTGTTCGAGGAGGGTTTTTGTTGTCACAGCCATGTAAGAGATGTGCAAAACCATGCAGATAAGATGGATGGCAGCGAATTGGGAGAAACCAGGACAAATGGAGCGAGTGTTAGGAAGAGATCTCTCGGTAACCGCTGGTGTGGTGTGTGTAATAGGCTTAGGTCAGTGCTGCACTTGATTTATGCCTTAAAGGCATCTTTTTAAAAGGCCTTACAGTAGAAATCCTTGGCTAATAATGATTCAGGTATCTCTGTTCAATTCTTCATTTCCTGGGGCTGTTGAATGCATTGACACACAGGAATGCTCAGATAAGATGGAGGGAGCAGTAAATAGGGGTGGTCCAGAGGTTTGGGCAAACATACACAAAAAATGAGATTTAAAAAAGGATAAGATAAACACCCCAGTTTGGAGACTGCCGATACAGAAAACTTGAAATACAGAGTCAGGGCTAATGTAACATATCACACATTTTTTGGCACACTGTCCAGTTTCTTAGGGGTTTAGATATTTTCCCTCCAGGCAACATTTGTTTTGTCAGCCTTTCTGCTCCAGTCAGGAGTTAAACAGTCCGCAGAAATGACACGAGTCTTTTCTTTCTGAAGTGGGCTTCTCTAAGTTGGTGCTGAAGTGCAGCTGAATACATCTGGAGCTTTCAGTCTGCCCGTTTGAAAGGAAGAGTACCACCAGAATGTAACATGTTAGCCCAGTGTGGGGCTTCCTGATGAAGGGAGAAGAAATACTAAATGCTCAGAACATGAAGCTAAATGTTGCCTATTATCTTGAAACAGGTGAATGCAAAGTGAAGGCCCGTCCTCCAAAAATCAAAAGCGAGAGGAAGAAGAAGCACCTTTTCCCTCAACACCAGCACCATCTGCAAGCGGCTCAGCTCCCACAGCCGCAGCCACCGCTGCCACCACCGCCCGCGCCGCAGCAGCAGCTGCCCGGGGACGAGGTGCCAGCGGCCCGGCCACCGGCGGCCCTAGCAATACCCACACTGGCCATGGCGGAAAAGAGCTCGCCCCCGCCTCCCCTGAACATCATCCAGCCCTTGGAGGCACCAGTTGAGGAAGACGACTTTAAACCTCGGCCCATCATTCCCATGCTGTACGTGGTTCCACGGACCAAAAAGGTGGTGTTCGACAAGGAGCGCATGTCCTGCCAGCAGGCGTTCGAGCAGTTCGCCACGCAGAAGAGTCCCGGTTGGCAGGAGCAGGCTGTCCCCATGGAGATCTCTGTGAAGGAGGAGGAGAATGCAGAATCGGAGAATGCAGAGGTTGCTTCAGAGGTCAGTGATTTACAGGGGTGCATGACTGAGGAGGTGCCTGTAAGATTTGCTCATTTTAAGCGACAAATTGAGGACTAAACTTGGAATGAGAGGAGTCCTCAGTTGTGCCTGAGCTCCAGTGTGGCAGTGCCGCGTTTGGAGAGCCATTGAGAGCTTTTACAGAAAGAAATTGATTATTTTCCCAGTTCAATCCATAGTTCAGTCCATCATTGCAGTGATGCTAGCTGATTAATCAGACTTACTACTGTCTTCAAAAGATAAAGTAGAGAATCTCTTTTCCTGCTGCTAATAGTACAGATAATACTGAAGTGATCACCCCGAACACTAGGCAGGAAGGCCCAGCACAAGCAAGCAGCTGCTGCAGAGCAACTGTTGAGTGGTAAAACCAGACAACCCCCAGGGAAACTTTGATCAGAAGTGATCAGAAAATGTGCGTTGCCACACCGGCATGGCACTGTTAGTGTACCTTTTAATAATATGATGGCTGCAGACTAGAGAGGAAGAACCAGCTGCGCCACGCTATGCTGGGCTGCCGTAAGTACCTTCATCTCTGCTCACTCCTGTGTAACAGGAAATGTGCTTTTAAGGATTTCATTCTTAATGCTGCAGCGCTGCTGCTTGTCTTTGTGTCTGTGACCCAAAGCACGCGTCCCTGTGGGTTTCTGGTGCAAAATAACTCACATGTACCGCATTTGGTGCCTGTCGCAGAAGAGGACTGAGAGCCCTGTGATTAGGATGTATTTAAGTGTTGGATGGTACACAGGGCAGTGGGTACACTACAAGATAAATATACTTGTCATAAAAGGCACTGTAATTTTCTAGTAAAATGTTTCTGGTCCTGTGTGCTCTGTACGTAGTTTTGGTGCTGGAGTTCCTCGCTGTGTATGTGATTGACCAGACTTCTCATAAGCTAATGGAATTGGCAGGCTTGAGGCTGTTCTGATTTTAACAAAAACACTGTAGTTTGCCTTTACCCGACATCTTAAGAGATAGCATTGGCCTTATCCACTTCAGTAATTGGCTTGGGGAGGCTTAATTGATTGCAGCCAAAAGGCAGTGAAATGTTTACTGTATAAATTCAGGAGCTGTTTATGGCAAGGATCCTGCCGTTGTCCTGTACTCTCCTTTGCTTGCCCGGTTATTTGGGGGTTCCCATCTTGCTTGTTCTGGTTTATTAGGCTGATGTTGAAAGGTTGTTTTCTCCTTTCTCCAGACCGCTTCTGCTTTTTCAAAGATGAAGATGGAGATAAAGAAGAGCCGTCGCCATCCGCTCGGCAAACCGCCGACGCGCTCCCCGTTGTCAGTGGTTAAACAGGAGACCTCGAGTGATGAGGGTGAGTGCACCAGCACTAGAAATGCTCGTGTGTCTTGTCTGCTCTCAAAAATTGCCGAAGCTATTAACATAACTGGATGGCCTGAAACTTTTTGTGTTACACTGAACTGATAAAAAATGCAGCATGTTCCCATTTTGATAACCCAGCTAGAAACCAAATTCATCAGTGGGAGGTGTCCCTTCTCACCTCCCACCCTTTTTTTCCTCTCAAGAAAAATATTTTGCTGGCTGCAGAATGAGGCAATGTTTTAGGCAAAGGGGAGAAAAAGTAGTTTGCAGAAAATAACATCTTAAAGTAAAAGCTCCTTCTTAGGTATTGCATTAAAATGAGACCTCTTTGCCTCAGAGAGCAGTGGAGGTTAGGTCTGCCGTTATGTGTGTGAGGAAAATTAATTCTACATTTTTTAATTCATGTGAATGTCGGAATCCAACTTTTCTTGGCAGATCCAGAAATGAGAATTCGGAAGTCTCTCGGTGATTAACTGTACATCACTGAGTTTTCTTTTTCCACACTCCAGTCTCTGTGAATGCCGTAAGAGTCTAGAGCAGAAGGAAAAAAAAAAAGACTCTTACCCCTGACTTCTGTTGTGTGGTGTAATTCACCACTTCTGGGTCTTGCCCACATTATAAAGCACTCAGAATATAGAGAAGTCCACAGTAAGAAGCTTTTGTGTGCAGGGGCAGGTACGTGAAGGTGTAATTGGCAATCCCTGTCTCAAGGTACTTACAGCTTTATATTCAAAAGGACAACGTTCTGCCTTCTCGCTTCCCTTCAGAGAACGCATCCATTGATTTTAGAGACGCTTTGTGCTGGAAGGGGATGTTCTTACATCTGTAGCTCCATTTCCGTACCAGGGATGCTGTGTTTGATGTCTTGCATATGCGAAACGTGGAGTGAAGCGGTGAAAGGCAGTTGAGACTAGTTATCGTGTTTTGGTGTGAGACCTTGCAGCAGACTTGGTGCTGAAGGATCCTCATTAGACAGATGCTTTTCACTGTTTTGACTTTTTGGATGGCGTACAGGGACTTTGCTGGCTAACTCAGGAGCAACTTTCTGTGAAAGCTGGCATTTCTCAGGGACTGATTTACAGCACTGTTGGGCAAAATAGGATAAAACAGATTCAGCTTTTCGCTGCCAGGGAATAGAAGCAGCTCTGCTCTCCTCGCTTTTCAGGGCTAATGTGTAGGGATGATCTGCAGACTGCTGTGAGGAAGAGTGAGCATGTAAATTAAGGGAACGCATGCACTGTGCTGAGATTGAGTTCAAATTTTTAGCCATTTCTACTTGTGTAGAACTTGCTTGACATGTAGGAGCTGTCCTGAATGCTGTGTCTCACCTACATCAATCCTGGGGTAAGTGGAGGTGATAGTAACAAACAGCAGTTACTGCCTTTTTTCTCTGTCACTCTGCATTATGATGCTGGTTTCAGTAATTTCACAGGTATCATAAATCCCTGCCTGTCTCCTGATGTGCCTTCACTCAGGTTTGGAGATACTCATGGCTTGGTTTTTGACTCATGTCTTGAAGTGTCACAAAGATACACAGATAGTGTGCATCTCAAAAAAGGGTTGATTAATTACTTGCAATAAAATTTCCCACACTGTCTGACAAATATATATCGGATTTGTTGGGAGGAACATTTAAAATCTGAGATGTAAACTTAGCCATTAGTGTTTTACTGCAAGTTCTTTTTATCATCTCTGGTAACCTAGGAGTCTGCAAATGGGGAGCAGGCTTAGACTTGTTGAGAGCAGCACATCAACTGCGTATTTCTGGTAATTAACAGTGAAGCAGTGAACAATTTGGTTTAATGTGCTGGGCTCTGGTGATAATGTTCCACTGAGGTCTTTTTGAGTTCCCCTGGCCAAAGCTGTTCTTTTTTTTCTGTAGTGTTGCAGACTGACAACGCAGTGAGTGGTTTACACTTGGTCTTGCGTGGAAAATGTCTTTAACACTTTCAGTGACTCAAAATTCCTTAATAAGAAACTTGAACTCCCAAACTGACACACATGGATCCTGTGGTGGTTTAATCATAAAATGCAAAGAGCTTTTTAAAGGTTTTGTAAAAACAAAGAATTAGCAAGCTAATGAGCACGAGCAGTACCTGGCAGAGCTATGGCAGAAGAGAAGGTGGTGAGGAATGCAAATTGAAGGCTTAGTGGTGTGCAGTTGGCTGGAAGCAGCTGTGAAGCAGCTGCAGAAAAGTAAAATGAAAACTTGAGTCCAGGATATCTGATGGCCAAGATGAGTCTGTGCACAGGATGTGCTTTGGGAAGGTTGGAGCAGACTTGCTGCTGACTGGTGGGAACTGGGAGCTGCCTTAACCAGACCAGCAGAGACTGCATGGGTGTCTTCCAGAGAGTGCAGCTCCCAGTTAGAGTAAAGGAAGGAGGATTTCTCTGTGCTTGCATCCTGCCTTTTGACCTTGGCTTCACTAGAAGGACGTTGTTGGTTTCCACAGTTGTGCTTTGGGAAGGTTGGAGCAGACTTGCTGCTGACTGGTGGGAACTGGGAGCTGCCTTAACCAGACCAGCAGAGACTGCATGGGTGTCTTCCAGAGAGTGCAGCTCCCAGTTAGAGTAAAGGAAGGAGGATTTCTCTGTGCTTGCATCCTGCCTTTTGACCTTGGCTTCATTAGAAGGACGTTGTTGGTTTCCACAGTGAGAAAGTGGAGAGAGTTATGAAGGCAATAAATCGAAATTCTCTTCCTTCTTCTTCCTTATGGCCAGTTCCACCTGGACATCGATGTCTCTGCCTTGTCTATCGTACCCATAAAGTGGAGAATATATCTGTTTAAGGCAGTATTTGAGGCATATCCATATGAAGAACCACGGACCAGCTGGATGTTGTTATTTATCGAACTTCTCGTGTTGTTGAAACATTAGCTGTCTAATCCTACCTTGCTGCATTTTGCCTCTTCTCTCTGTAGACTCTTTTGCCTCTACTGACTGCCTGTTGTTTGGGGATTTTGTTCTTTCCAGAAACATTTCCATTTTCTGGGGAGGAAGATATGAGTGACCCGGAGGCTTTGAAATCGTTACTTTCCCTCCAGTGGAAGAATAAAGTGCATAATTTCTCAGCTGAAAGAAAATTCAATGTAGCTGCAGCCCTGAGTGAGCCATACTGTGCTGTTTGTACCCTCTTCTACCCGTACAAGCAGGTAATTCCTCACGCCAGTGTGTCAGTGGTGGGTGCTGAGTGGTGGCTACTGTGTAAGTTATGATGCAGACCTTTGGAATAAAGAAAAAAAAAAAAGGGTCATACAAGTCTGCACACCAAAAAAAGTGTGTTTGGATATGGCAGAGGCAGTGGCTGGAGCCTTTTTTTGTTATCTTTCCTGGCTTTCTCAGCGTTCATTTTAAAAATCATACATAGAGAGCTTTGCATTGCAAACACTGTTTCATGCAGAGAAATGGTGCCATATTGGGCACGTTTTTGTTCTTGTTTAGACATGGACCTGCACTTTGGAATATATGCAAACAAGCAGCAGAATAAAAATTGACTGAGTAAGCACATACATCATTTTTTGGAAACTACCAATATGCTTTGGGATATGTTATGAGCAGAAAGGCAAAATTTATCAGATGAATTAGTTATTTGCCCAGTTGGGTATTGATTTGTTCTTGTGTGCTTACAAAGCCAAATCTGGCTTTGTGTGTCCACCAGGAATACGTGCCTTAGATACACATATATGCCTTGGAAGCTTTTTCTGAGAAAAGCAGAGCCCACCTCCCCCCTTTAATAAAAAACTCTTGATTTATTTTACAGCCTGAAAATAAAATATCTGTTCTGATTGCTGGGTGTCGGTGGATAACGGTTGTAAGGAAAACCGGGTCCAGCTGGGCTGGTTTAATCCGTTGTTTTAACTCTGCTCTGCCACCAGGAACCTTGAAATGTCCTTCTGGAGAAATTCCTGCAGAAAGAGTAGGGAAGGATGCCAGAAGGATGGGAGAGGGGGAGGGAAGGTCTTGCTTTTATTAATATTTTCTTTTTCCTTGGCGTTTTCAGTTGCAATTTAGGGATTTAGATTTTTGCAGAAGAAAACCAGGGAAAGCTTTGCATTATTCTAATGCTTCTTGGAGCCTTCAAAATAAATTACAGATCCCGGTACAGGCAGAGGGAAAGGAGCAGAAGGCAGGGGTGGGGTAGGGGTGTCCATGAGAAGCCAGGATTTAAAGTTCATTATTTGGGCTGCATGGCCTCAGGTGCTGGGTGACTTTTTTGCAAGAGGAGTGCTCTGACTTTAAGGTTAAAAATGTGACTAGGCAAGAGGCAAACTCCACCTGATGATATTTTCTCTTTAAGTCCTTACAGATGGATAAAGAAGCTGTCCCAGTCTCTCCTGGGGAGACCTCCTCTTTCGTCCACCTTTCTAAATGCGGACAGAAGACCAAGCCCCTGATCCCGGAGATGTGCTTTACCTCGAGTGGGGAAAACACAGAGCCCCTTCCTTCAAACTCGTACATTGGAGAAGACGGAACCAGTCCCTTGATCTCCTGTGCCAAGTGCTGCCTGCAGGTTCATGCCAGTGAGTGGCTCCTCCTTCACCAACATATTGGGGATATTGGGAAACTCTCAGGTTTCTTTGTATGTTGCCTACATTTCAGTTCTTTCTTGACATGCTCGCTATACCTGTCCCTCCCACGTTCTCCTTTTCTGGTACTAGTGTATGTGCATATTTGAGTCCATCTTGGCAGTCACCGATCTTAAAAAAAAAACAAACCACACAAATATTATTCTTGCTGTTTGTTTTGTTGGCTGATTCTTCGCTGTCTCATCAGAAAGGTTCTTTGTTATCTTTCATTTTTTGTAATAAAGCAGAAATCACAGAA